AGGGCGCGGACGCGGCGCTGGGCGAGGCGGGGCTGAGCTTCACGACCACCGACCTGAGCCTGGTGGAGATGACGGAGATCGAGTACACGCAGCTGCAGCACATCCTCTACTCGCACATGGAGGCGGCCGCGGCCGACGGCGAGCTCGAGACGCGCCTCAACTCGGCCTTCCTGGCGGCGGCGGCGCCGGGCGCGGCGGCGGCGGGGGGCTTCGCGGCGTCCGGGGCCGCGGCGTCCGGGGCCGCGCCGCCAGTGTACCCCGTGCTGTGCCCGCCCGCGCTGGCCGACGGCGGCTTCACGGGCGCCAACCAGTGCCTGGGCCACATCGACTTCCAGGAGCTGCGCATGATGCTGCTGAGCGAGGCTGGCGCGCCCCCCGCCAACGCCGCCGAGAAGACGCCGGGCGCCGACGGCCCTGGGCCGGGCGCAGCGAGGCCCAAGGCGTCCGACGGCGCCGGCAAGGAGAACGCGGAGGGCGCGCCCGAGGCGCGGGCCAAGTCGGCCGTGCGCGTCCGCCTGGAGGACCGCTTCAACAGCATTCCTGCCGAGCCCCAGCCCGCGCCGCGCGGCGCCGAGCCCTCCGAGCCAGGCGTGGCGCTCAACAAGTGGGTGCGGGCGGCGCGGGCGGCGGGGGGCACGGTGCAGCCTGGTCTCCCAACGCGGGCAGCCCCGGCCGGGTCTGGGTGGAGGAGACTCACGTAGGGAAGCGTCGAATGGGAAGTGCGGCTTCACCCTACAGGGCACTGCCAGCCCGTGTGGGGACGGTCCAAGACGAGCAGCAGCCCGTCTGCTGCGGTGCCGCCTCAGCTTTGTGTCTGTCCCCACCCTGTAGTTTCCCCATTTTACTGAATAGACATCGGATTTCCGAGGTCGGCTCCTCAAAAGAGATTGGCGATAACGGTGTGAGGGGCAGGGAGGGATGACTAACAGGTGACACACAGCCGCACCTTCCTCTCTGAGGAAGAAGGGTGCAGCTTGTCCACCGTGGCGGCGCCGAGACCATTGTTTATAGAGATCCCCCCCAATGGGGGCGTTCAGCGGAACAGGCCTGAGCCCCTCTCTAGAAGATGTGATGTTAACCGTTAGAGTGCTTGGGTAAACGGTTGCGGTGTTTCAGGAGTGTTGTGAGCAGGACGTGGCTATCCAAGGAGCAGTCTCACACACGTCTGCCTTCTCCCAGTGTCACACTGTATTGTTGTAGAATAAAGCCTTGGATCTGGCCCTACTGACTCGATTTACCGGGGGAATTAACCAAGGCTCCGGACAGAGGATAGTCTACAATAGTGGAGGTGGAGTGGTGTCACACTCGAGGGTCACACAGGTTTGCAAGCAATAGGGTTAGGCGAGGCGAACAGCCTTACAAGAGAGGGATGAGAGAGGCCGGTGTCCACCGGAAGTCCCTTCGGCTCTGGGATGCAGAGCGTCGGGTGTCAGGCTGGGCTGGTGAGACGGTCCGGAGGCAAGGCTTTATTTAAGGGCTCCCTCCATCTGGAACGAGTGCAGGTGCAGCTCTCAGCTCGTTGGCTGAGGCCTGAGCGAGGAGCGGTCAGAGAGCTCTGACCTTGTGCTCCAGGCTGGGTGCAGTGACCCCATCTGCAGTCCCATAAAGCCTCCAGGTGGTCACACTCCACCCTGCATCTGGAGTTACCCGGTTAGGGCGGTCACTGGGTCCGCCTTTCACAGGATGCTCTGGCATGACCGTCACTTTGTGACTGACATAACTGTCAGAATTATTAGAGTTCATTCTGTGTTCATAATTAATGCCCTGTACAAGGAGGCTGTCTGCCTCATGTCTTTCACGGTTCTGCATTTGGTTTCCTCTTGGCAGTCTGGTGACCCTTATTCGACATCCATCCGAATTAATGAACGTGCCTCTTCAGCAACAAAACAAATGTACAACCTTAGTGAAGAATAAGACCGCAGCTGCCACTACCGCCCTGCAGTTCACCTACCCGCTGTTCACCACCAATGCCTGTACCAGCGGCTCGGGCACCAGTCTCCCACAGACACAGGTACAGGGGCGAGGCGGGGAGGGGCATGGCTTCGCTCTTTGGTGTTCAATGAATTGAATGTATTAGGTCGCAAGGATTGTTTGTTTCATTGAGTGCAATAACTTTTTAAAATCGAGGTATTTACGTGGTTTGGGGACATTGAAAAGGCCTCAGCGCACCTACAGTTCTTCACATTGCATAGCAATAGCGGTGACGTCACTTCTGTTCCAGTGCATTTTGTTTGTGCAGTAAAGAGGAGAGCAAGTTGTATATTGATAAAATTCCTTCTGCCTTATCTTTTCCAGAGTTCTAGTAACTCGTGTTCAATCCTCGATGCTGCCAAGCACCAGGATATCGGATTGCCTAGAGCATTTTCTTTCTGTTATCAGCAAGAAATTGAATCCACTAAGCAGACTTTAGGCAATAGAAACAGAGCTTTGCCTGAGCAGGTGTGGATTAAAGTGGGAGGTAAGCCACCAAGCGGAAGGGAGCAGGTACTTCTGCTCCTGCCAGACCTTTGCCCGTCTGTCATTGTGGCCCTAGGCCCAGGAGTTGGGGAGGTGGTTTATTAACCTGAACAGGTCTTGGAAGTGTCTTTATATTTTAGCCCCTTCCCACCCCTTCACCCTCCATCATCTCACTTTGAATATTCTTCTGAATTTTGAACGTCCTACTTGGTATGGGGACATTGAGTTCAGGGGCTGCTGCTTTTTTTTTTTTAAAGATTTTATTGGGAAATTGGGGGAGGGAACAGCGTTGGGGAATCAGGGAAGGGGAACAGACAAGTTGCTGTCCTTTGTTCTTCAGTCTAGTTGTGGAGGACGTCGCTTCACTGGTCCATATTGGTGTTGTGATCATTGCGCTCTTCCAGGCTGAGGCAGATCAGTCTCCAGCCATTGGATGGCGGCTCATGGCCGCTCACTGCGGCTGCTTGTTCACCATCTTAGCAGTAGAGGGTGCAGCGTCAATGGCCCATGTGGGATCTGAACCGGTGGCCCTGCTGCTCAGAGCTGGCATCCCAAGCCAGCTCTTAACCACCGAGGCACTCGGCCGGCCCAGGGGCTGCTTTTTCTTAATTGTAAACTCCGTAAACAGGAAAACGATAGACTTACATAAATTTTCAGCTATCTTCAACTTAACAAAGCACATAGTTTTTTGTTTATTTATATTTTTATATTTTGTGAGCAAGGCAGGAGTCTGAAATCTGCTAGAACCTTTAGGAGACAATTTGCAGATGGGCAGAGGATTGAATTGGGGGCAAGAGGTCGTAATGTGATTCAGAAAGTTTTAGAAATAAAGAAACTGCTAAAGTCAAACTTTGCTTACCTTGAAAGTTAATTTGCAGTCCCCTACTCCCTGGAAGCAAAGTCTTTTTCAAGTTGTCCAACAAAATAACAGCTTACGGGACTTTTCCAGAGCTAATGAACACAGAACCAGGGGCTGTTGGGGGGGGGGGGCTGCTGCTCTCTCCTGTGTCAGTAATTCACTTCTTGTTTTTGTGACACTTTATGCAAAAGCTTATGTTAATATTTGTCAGGTATAGGGCCAGCTGAATGGCTCAGTTGGTTAAGAGTTAGCTTAAGAGCGCGAGCTCTGAGCAACAGGGTCACTGGTTCGATTCCCACATGGGCCAGTGATGCTGCACCTGAGCTGAGCTGCTGCTGAGCTGCCAACAGGTGGCAGGATGGCTCAGCTGGTGAGCACGTGCTCCTAACAACAAGACTGCCTGTTCAATGGTGGGCTACGCCCGCCTGCAAGTAATACTGAACTTGGCACCTTGAGCTGAACTGCCACCCGGATGGCTGGGCTCAGTGGATAGAGCGTGCGCTCTTAACAACAAGGCTGCCAGGTTTGACTCCCGCATGGGATGGTGGCTACGCCCACCCGCAACTAAGATTGAACACAGCACCTTGAGCTTAGAGGCCACGAGCTGCCAATGGGAAGCCAGATGGGGACTGGCGCCCTCTATAATGAACATTGAAGAACAACAACTTGGCTGGTCCCCTTCCCCAAATCACCAACACTGTTCCCTCCCCCAATTCCCCAATTTAAAAAAATATATATTTGTCAGGTATAAAGATGAAGATTAAAATAGTCACTGTACTGAGCACTCAGCTTGAGGAATAAAATATTACCAATGCCTGTGAGCTTCCCTCTGTGTCTCCCTTGAAAAGTTATGTCCATTCTGAAATGTGCTGAGTGCTGCTTTGGCTTTACATAACTTGGCTTTGGCTTCTTGGGGATGCACACCGCCACACATGCTAGTTAGATGCCTGCTGTTCTGTGTTTGGTGGAAATTTGACTTATTTCTGTAGCATCAACAGAAGCAACGATGTGATTACTCCTTTTGTGGGGAGAATCACTTGGAAGGTGAGGGTGTATTTAATCCTAAGACACCTAGGTTTTGTCCTCTTCTGAGAACTGCGGTTAAAATATCAGTTGTCGTAGTAGAATAATTTCAGGGTTCTTTCCCACTCTGAGTATCAGAAAAATCAAACAACTTTTGGGTCTGTCTGTTCATAGATGACAGTTAACGCCTGTTGGTTAACGAGGGGGCTTGACGGGTGTGTTGATTACATAGCGCTCAGAGTGTTTTAATTTAGTGAAGCATTTAGGTCTAGTTTTGTAGTTTGACACTTGGAGCTGCACGCTAACCGTGCCCATGGAATTGTGGTGGACAGCTCTTCCTGTTCAGTTCCCTGTGCTCCTGACCCACCCGTGTTTGTATCTTGGATTGAAGATACCAAAAAATATATTCAGTATTAATGGGGATAAGAATAGAAAGTTAAAATACCGCTTTTTTCTTCTTTTGCAAAGAAGAAGCGCTCTGCAAGCAAGCGATAAATAAGAGGAATCGGGGCAGAATGCGCCCGTTGGACTCGAGTGTAGAGCGAAGAGCCCTTGGAGAGATTCAGAATGTGGGTGAGGGCACTGCTGCCGCCCAGGGCACCTGGCAGTCGGCGGAGTCTGCGCAGTCACACCTCGGGGAGCAGGCCCAAAGCGGGCCCCCGGGGGGCAGGTCTCAGCGCAGGGAAAGGCACAACCGCATGGAGAGAGACAGAAGGTAACGCGTGGGACTGTCGAGCCCTCCCGCAGACCGTGCTCTTAGGCACGCAGGTCTATTCAGGTGCTAGTGATGCCGGGCAGGTTGTTGTCTAAAACAGTCGTGTAGCCGGTTCTGTGTTCAAAGGAGGAAAAGTGGGTAAGAGGAAACACTGACTGTTTTGCTAGGTGGATTGGGTTCCCCTAGCCCCCAGGTTTGCTGGCTCATTAGGAGGACTCAGGCTTTGGTTTATTATAGAGAAAGCACATGGTCAAATAAGCGAAGGTGCGTGGGGAGAAGCTGGGGCGACCCGGTGCAGGCCCCCACGTGGCCTCCCAGGGGGTGATATGAGACCACTTAACTCCCCGCTTTGAGTTCTGGGCCGCTGATACGCTGCCAGCACAGACTCAGTGAGTCAAAATTTTGTCGGGGCTGATCGATCATGTGGCCACGCAGCCAGTTCCGGACCCCAGAAGGAAAGCCGGCATTTAACACAAACCACACCGTTTACACAGTTTGGGCCCAGGGAGGGAGCCCTTCTTAGCCAGTGGTCAGGGGAGCCCTTCTGAAATGTACATTTCCAGATGCCAGTCGGGCCAGCCCCTCCACAGGCCTTTGTGAGGAGAGGGTGAGCCTGCTAGGCTGAGTGCCCTGCACCCCAGGTCACTCGTTTTGCTTAGTTCTTTTAAGAATGTTGGGGAAGGAGGAGGTTAAAACTGTTAGTTAAGTCGTTTTCTCTGTAGATTTTATTTGTGCTATTCTATATAGAGCCAAAAGGTGCTTGATTTTTGTCTCTTATAGCTGGGTTTTTACATGATTTCCCCTAATGTAAAATTAATTAACCTAGTCATTTATTGAGCACTTTGTACCAGTTTCTGTTGTAGGCTCAGGAAATACAGCGAGACAAATAATTCAACTCTGAAGCCCCAGTGCTGAGCTAAGGCAGTTTCTTTCTTTTTAAAGGGATATATTAAAGCTGGTAGCCAGCAAGATACCATTAAATACATGACACACACACATGGTCTAACTGTAGGACCTCCCTGAACACAGTGGGAGTTACAAAGGGTGTTTTTCCTACTGACGTTTATTTAATAAACATTTACTGAACACTTGCTACGTGAAAACCCTATCCTGTATGTTTACAGTAAAAGTTCCAGTCTTACTCTGTCATTTCCTAGTTTAACAAACTGCAAATTCTTCCCACCTCGTCTCAATTTTCTGTCTATAAAATAGAGGTATTCTCTACCACGTAGACTGGAGACTAGAATTAGACGCGCTGATATGGCGCTGAGCCTGGATGGCAGAGATTATCTGGTAATGCCAGCTGTTGCCCATACCAAGTCCCTGTAGAATTCCGAGTGTTCACTTGGGAAGGTTGAGGGGCAAGGACCGCCTTGTGTGAGCTGTCCAGTGTCAGCTGTGTAGGACTTTGCATACTACAGGGTGTAATGTGTGGAAGTTAAAATGCTCTAATCATAAGACTCCAGGTGTGTTTTAAATGACCTCGAACAAGACCAGGTTTGCAGATATCACCAGGCTGCTGGTCGACTGTGATTCTCTTTGAACCAGGGCCCCTTTGAACCAGAGTCGAAGCTGGGAACCCTAGTGTGACTGAGTCCTGGGCAGACGGAGGGCAGTTCATAACTTGCCTGAAACAAGGGCCTGCCCAGAAAAACCACACACATGGTTTCTGCTTCTGGTTTCATGGTCTTGGATCCATCCCGGGTCTAGACGCGTAAACCTGGCCCGTGCTCCTGGCCTGTGAGGAGAAACTAGGGGAAATGCCCCAGGGAGGGTGACAGGACTGGGCACCGAGATCCTGAGAGGACAGGGGCCCTTCCCAGGCACGTGGTGGCCAGGCTCCTGAGTTCTGACCCTTTCCGTGGCGTGAACTCTTGCTCTGAACCTGTCTTGCTTTGGCTTTTCCATGTCATTACTTTGGAATTTGACTGCAGGCGCAGAATCCGCATTTGTTGCGATGAGCTGAACCTCTTAGTCCCATTCTGTAACGCTGAGACTGATAAGGCGACGACTCTTCAGTGGACCACAGCGTTCCTGAAATACATTCAGGAAAGACACGGAGACTCTCTTAAGAAGGTTAGTATTTAGGCCAGCTAGATTTTCAGAATTTTATCAACTTATCAGTGTTCTTATGTGTCACTTTTTTCCCAAAGAGATCCCAAACTGTCCTTTGTTTCCTGGAATCTGATGTCACTCACTGGTTCAGTATGAACAAAGCTTTACTCATTAATGGTGTAATTGACACTGATTAAAGGAGTAACACAGCCTGGATATAGTCACTAAACTACAGCATACAAATGACTCGAGGACCCAGCCAGTGTCATAACAGATTAAGCGTCTGCTATATGCAGTGGGTTATACTGGGGTGTGAAGGGGTCTCAGAGGATATGATTTTTTTTTGCCCTCAGAAAACTGTGAAAGAGATAAAGCAAGAATAGCAAAAAAAAAAGAACAGCAAAAAATTTTTTTTTAAAGAGGCAGATAAATTTCAGATAAATAGTCTAAACTTCAGTGCACTCAGAAGGCAGAGAAGAGAGAACCTTGCGTGGGCTGGGTGATCGGAGACGACCCCAGGGGCTTGGGCCCGAGCACCTCGGTTCCTCAGTACAGCCAGCACAGCCTTGACCCTGTCTGATCGGTGCCCACCGAGTGAGCACTCTTGGCTCCTTTCGGACCACGTGCTCAGGGTGACAGTCCCGTCCACCGTTTTGGTGGCAGTTTAAAGAAAGAACAGAGGTAGCACTCTGCCAGTCCTAGGTACTGGCCTCAGAACTCATGTTCAAGCCGTGAGACCTCAGTGAAGGAGGCCTGAGTGTCGGACGGTATTCCTTGTCCTGGCCCTTGTGTGCCCGCAGCACGAGTCTGATTAGAGAACCGAGCACAGGGTGGCCTGATAAATGTGGAACCTTTTTTAAAAGAGCCACCTGTATCTAGATCCTGGACAGGCCCAGGAAACTTGTCCCCCTGCCGGCGATTGCAGGCCCCTCGGGTTGTGTGCTCAGAGTTTGGCCGTTTCCCTCGTCCGTGTCACATGACAGTTACATCTTGTGAGTTATATAATTCTGTTACGTCCCTTATTTTCATTGTATATTTAATTGCATTTTCAAGCTATACTTATGTCAGATTTGTTATAATTGGGTCATTTATGGTTATTTATAATATAGTTACTCTTTAACGCTATTTGTTAGAGGTAGTGTATTGGGTTATTTTAATAAAATAAAGCTTTTATTTTTTTTAAATGATTTAGTGTTTGGCTCCGTGTACCTATTAGTAAGTTATTGATATAATTCATTTAACTACAATGAAGGCATTACAACAGCAAAAACATCTTGCTAACTATATATATATATATATGCATATATATATATATAGATGAAATAGATTAAAAACTTAAGGATTTTTTTTTTTTAAGATTTTATTGGGGAATTGGGGAAGGGAAACAGCCAAGTTGTTGTCCTTCAATCTTAGTTGTAGAGGGCGCAGCTAGCTCAGCTCCAAGTCCAGTCGCACTGCTCAGCTCAAGGTGCCGTGTTCAATCTTAGTTGCAGGTGGGCATAGCCCACCATCCCATGTGGGAGTTGAACTGGCATCCTTGTTGTTAGGAGCACGTTCTCTCACCAGCTGAGCCATCCTGCCACTTGTTGCAGCTCAGCTCAGGTGCAGCTCACTGGCCCATGTGGGAATCGAACCAGAGACCCTGTTGCTCAGAGCTCGTGCTCTTAACCAACTGAGCCACTCGGCTGGCCCAAAAACTTATGGATATTATATTTTATGTATATTATGCTTCCTGGATATTTCTGAAATTTAATTACATTGAACTCGTAGATGTTTCTGTGTCAGATTTTAGGACCCACCAAGAGACAGGCTGAAGTGGGGCCGGCCGAGTGGTGCGTTGGTTAAGAGTTGGCTTGGGAGCCAAGCTCTGAGCAGCAGGGCCCCAGTTCGGATCCCACATGGGCCAGTGACGGTGCGCCTTCTACAGCTAAGATGGTGAACAACAGCTCAACCTGGAGCTGGGCTACTGTGAGTCGCTGGCAATGGCGTAGGCTACAGCCCCTGCTGCAGTGGGCTGGGTGAGCTACCGCGAGTGGCCGTCCAATGGCTGACGACTGACTGCCTCACCTGGGAAGAATGCAATGATAATACCAACATGGGCCAGTGAAGCGACGTCCTCCACAACTAGACTGAAGAACAAAAGGACAGCAACTTGTCTGTTCCCCTCCCCCTATTCCCCAATAAAATATTTAAAAACAAAAACAAAAACAAAAAATAGGTACAGGCTGAAGTGTTGTCAATTAGCAGTTTTGTTTTGGGGGAATTAGAAAGTAAACAGCCTAAACACATGTACACTCCGCACTTTCCTTAGCAACTTTTTTCCCTCGCTTACTTACATAAATATTTTTGTTCTTAAGGTACAGTACATGAGAGTCTGAAGTGATTTTCCTGTTATTTTAGTACACACTTTATTCCACAAGTCTTCCCTACTCTCACCAGGCTTGTGCTCGCTCAGGATGTGAGGGTGCTTTGAATGAACCGGAGACACTGCTGGCCTGCTGTCTGGAGGCAGAGACGCTGCTGTGGGCGTGGCCTGCAGAGGGGCGTCTCAGCGTTTTTTCTGGTGTCTTGAGTTTGAAGTTTATTTTCAGTGTTTCTCTTTTCTGGTCAGTGCCTTTAAAGCTGATGGCTGTCTTGGTGCTTCTTTGAAAACATTCCACAGGTTGGGATGTAAAGCTTCATTATCTCTAAATGTCTTTAATCTTGGTTTGCCTCTTCAACATAGGAATTCTGTGGAAGTCGGTTCTGAATTTTCCACAGATGTGGGGGGCTTCTTTGTGTCCTTTTAAGAACAGCTTTTTGTCTGTTGTTCACATTTATTTATCACATTGTGATCAGTGAAGATGGTCTGTCTGTATAAAAAAGCAGTTTTTAAAAGTTTATTGAGACTTCCATTGGTGACTTCTTATGTGGTCAATTTTTTAAAGTTCCATGGACGGGTGGAGCGCTCCCACCATCCCAGACGATTCAAGAGTTAGACCAGTGACAGCAGAGTACTTACACTTCCCTTCCTGGACTTGAATTAAATATAAACCTGCTACAACCCAGCAACAAAAAGGCAAACAACCTGATTCAAAACTGGGCAAAGGACTCGAATAGACATTTCTCCAAAGATGATGGGCGAATGGCCCGCAAGCCCATGAAAAGATGCTCACCATCACCGATCACCAGGGAGATGCAGATCAAAACACAAAGATACCACCTCACACCCATTAGTTGTGGCTACAAAAACCAGAAGAACAGGTGTTGGGAGGATGCTCAGAAATTGGGACCCTTGGGACTGCTGGTGGGGGTGGAAGACGGTGCCGCCACGTGGACAATAGTCGGGGCTCAGAAAGTTCAGCACAAAACTGCCATACGACCCTGCTTTTCCACTTCTGGGTACTTAGCCAGAGAATTAAAAACCAACGGATCCTTGTATCAGGATGTTCACAGCAGCATGATTTACAACAGCCGGAGGTGGAAGTGACCCGTGTCCATCAACAGACAATGGACAGCAAAACGGACATACAGACAAGGGCACGGAACGCAGCTTTAGAAACAAGTGGAGTTCTGGCACGCACTCCAGCACGGACAGACCTGGAAGACACTGCCCAGGAAAAGAAACCCGTCACAAAGGACAGATGCTGTGCGAGCCACTGATGTGAGGTCCCTAGAGCCGTCAAACTCATAGAGACAAAGTAGATGGTAGGTGCTAGGGGCTGGGAGAGGAGTGGGGCCTTGGTGTTTCATGGGTGCAGAGTGTCAGTTTTACAAGATGAAAAAGTTTTGGAAGTAGACAGTGGTGATGGCTGCACAGCAGTGAATGTGCCTAATGTCAGTGAATTAACTTACAAATGGTTCAAATGGCAAATTTTATGTTAAGTATTTTACCATAATAAAAAAATATATGAGCCTAGATTTGATTGTTTAAGAATGCTATGTTTTAAAAATATAGAAATTTAGGTGCACAAAATGGAGAGAGACTAACTGACCTCCCATGTCCCTGTCACGGCTGCAGGTTCACTAATGTTCTGTCATGCCGCCCCATCCCCCACCCTCGCTGAATTCTTTTAGAGCAGGTGGACCCCGACTACTCAGCATTTCCTTCCAAATGTATCCTGAGAAGAACGGCTGTTGAGAAGCCTAACCACAAGCCCAGCGCCACTGCCCGGCACCCATCCCTGTGCCGAGGGGAGCAGAGCCCAGGTCCGGGAGCCACAGGGCAGAGGCCTGTGAGCACAGATGTGCCGACTCTCCAGGTGGCTCACAGCTGTCTTCACAGTTGACTTACCTGAGTCAGGATCAAAACACTGCATTTGGTTGTAGCTCTTACGTACCGTTGAGTCTGGAGTGTCCCCCCTTCCATTCCTGCTTGCCATTTACTTACGAGTCGGAGGACGTTGTCCGGTGGTGCCCCCACTCTCTGCATCCTGCATGCTCGTAACCTGTGTCTCCTAGAGGCTGCCAAGAGTCAGGCTGTCTGCTTCCGCTGGCTTCTCTTTCTGGGATGCCGAGGCTGACCGGGTGCTCAGGGCTGGTCAGTCTGATCCAGCCATTAAAATCGAGGCCTCTGTAAAAGTGGATGGAGGCTGTCCAGCGCGCACAGGGACCCGCCAGCAGGGCGCATTTGGGACAGAGCCCAGCCCCTGGGCCATGCCTGCCACGTCACTCACCAGTGTGCGTGGAAAACAAGTGCTTGCTGTGGGTCATGTGACAGCGAGAATCGGTGGTGGCAGAACGTTCTGGAAATGGACGGAGCTGATGGTTGTCCACAGTGAATGTGCCTGATGTGTCTGAATTTCACACTTAGAAATGGGATGTATTTTTTACCCCCATAAAAATAACATGTAAATATGGCTGCTTTTTAAAATGTAAGATGGCTTTACGGTATGATCAGGCATTTGGAGAATCTGTTGGAAAAGTGACTAAAAATACATGTAAATGTAACTATGAAAAAAATGTTTGAATCCCTATTTTTATCATAGATCTACCCCCTTACAAGGAGTAACATAAATTTGTGAATGGCACCTTAATCTAACTATATATTCTGGAAGTAGTTTAGCTCTTAATTTCCGTCTTTTGTATTTTTTTTTTAAGATTTTTATTGGGGAATTGGGGGGATGGGAACAGTGCTGGGGAATTGGGGGAAGGGGAACAGACAAGTTGCTGTCGTTTTGTTCTTCGGTCTAGTTGTGGAGGATGTCGCTTCACTGGCCCAAGTTGGCACCATTATTGCGCCTTTCCCGGGCGAGGCAGATCAGTCACCGGCTTCTGGACGCCACTCACTGTGGCTGCTGGCCGCTCACGCTGGCTGCTGGCTACACACGGTAGCCCATGGCAACCCACTGCCACGGGCTGCAGCCTACGCCGTCACCAGCGACTCACAGCAGCCCAGCTCCAGGTTGAGCTGTTGTTCAGCATCTTAGCTGTGGAGGGCAGTGTCACTGGCCCTCATATGTGGGATCTGAACCGGGGCCCTCTGGCGTCCCAAGCCAGCTCTTAACCATCGCGCCACTCGGCCGGCCCCCGTCTTTTGTATTTTTGAAGACAGTTTTCATATCTGTGAATTCGGCATTAATGATCATTTCTCGACTTTAGGAATTTGAGAGTGTATTTTGTGGTAAAACTGGCAGAAGGCTAAAGTTGACCAGACCAGACTCCTTGGTGACGTGCCCCACACAGGAGAGTCTACAGAGCAGTCCAGCCATGGAGATGAAGTGACTGGAACTGAACCCTGATTCCTGGGAAGCAGACGGCCATTCCTTCCGGCCCAGAAACATTTGCACAGCCCTGGGTCTCTGCTCTGGACAGTCTACTGTAACAGGACATGACTCAAGTTGATGGGACTCCAGTGGGGACTTTGAAAGCACATTTTGTAAAAATATTTAGAACAAAATACTTATCCATTAATGTCCTCTTAGACCGTTGAGGATGAAGACATCTTGACAATTAGTAAGTACTTTTTCAATTATCTGTCTGATTCCATCATGTTTTCTTAACATGATAACTTTAAAAATTAACATCTCTTGTAATTTGTTTAGTCATACAAGATACATTGCTTTTTACGTATTTTATTTACATTTTAAACATGCCCCCTTAGCAACTGGAACAAGTTAAATTATTCTTCACTATAAGCAGTTTGGAAATTTATTTCATTAGTTTATCGACTCCCCTTGTAATGACATCCGGTCGGTCGCATAGTACTGTATTCCAAAATGCAGTCCTATTTAAACCTTTTTACTAGAAATTTGCCAGTGATGCCCTTTACAGGATGTCCCTACTTTTGTCCATAAATGATATTTTGTCACGGTAGGTTGCTCGGTGCCCACACTTTCATATTGAGAGTCATTATTTTTTGTGGAATTGGAATAAACTGTAGTGTTTGGAACAGAGTTTGTCACATGAGTGGCTTTATTTATTACAACAGATAATACCAATAGACTTTAGTGCAGTACAAAGTCACCTTCAATAAATACTGTTCGTCGGACAGTTAAAAGTTTGTACACAAAAGAAGCAGGTGAGTCAGACCAGACCTTTGTGGGCAGGGGTACCATACATTAAGTCCTTTATTTTTTTGTTTCACTGTGGCCAGGCATTAATCTGAAGATTTAATCTATCATTTTATTTGGATTATAGCTTAGTCTTTACACAAGTGCTATGTAAACAAGTTGCTAAATGTTGTGTAGCTCATGGAATTGTACAAAACTTTGTATATGTACACCCTGTGTCCCTTGCAGATGGTAGGGCGACAGATCTTCTACCAGGGCCTGGGTCTGAGGGACAGCGTCACAGCTGGCTGGATTGCTGTCAGTACACATAGAGACAGCAGCTCAGTGGAGGCTGCACTCAGGGACCAAGTGTCCAGTCGCTGCCACTGAGGACTCGGAGGGGCAGGCCAGGAAAGCCAGGCTGGACGTCCCGGCGTGGCGTCCTGTCCTTAGAACAGAATGCTGCCAATCCCTGGGGTGTCCCTCCAGAACCCACTGCTTAAATTGGCGTCACTTTCTCATCTCCTTAAGTTGTGTTTTAGGAGCTTCTAGCACCTGACTTTTCCCCGCCTCCTCCCATCACGGCTCCTTGGCAGGCCGACGTGTCACAGATGCCAGGGGTCCCCTGAGCACCAACAGCCCCGGGAAGGCCAGGGTCGCCAGGGAGGCCGGGCTCGCCGTGGGCCCCGTCTTGGCCGTCCTTGCCAACGCCAGGCACGCCCTGCGGTCCTGGAGACAGAACAGGAAGGTGAGTGCAGACGCCGCCGTAGGACAGCAGTCGTGGGACTCCACATCGGTTCGGTGTGCCCCCCAACCCTTTCGTTTGACTAGCTTGTTCCTTAACTCTGGACAAGGTTGGGGGAACCGCAGGGCAGAGGCCCTGGGTGGGGACAGATGGGACAGCCACGGGGAGCGGGGTCTGCGTTTTGTCCTGAATGTGGCAGCTCACACTTGGGAAGAGAGCATGGGTGTCTTGTCAAAAGGCATCTGGACTGAGTTGGTGGGAACACGGTGGGAGTGAAAGAAGACCCCACTCGGTGGGCACCTGAGCGGGTGGACGGCAGGTGGAGGCACAGTAGGTCAGCAAAGGAGAAATCCAGGTCTGGGGTGTGGCCTCAGGGCCAGGAGAGGAGAGCGTTTGGGGCCCAGGGGAGAGGGCGGGTGGGGGCCTCTCTTCTCTCGTGGGTGCAGGGGCATGCGGAGTACCGGAGCCCACAGGTGTGTGTGGGGGAACCAGGAGGCCCTGGATCCCAGGATGTGAGTGCAGATGACAATGACGTGGAAGTCTCAGAAGGCTGGGGATGCACAGCTCTTGGCAAAGCACTTATGTTCAGCATTAAAAATGGAAGCATTCAGGATACTTATCGGTCATTTAAGAGAAAATTCTGTTAGAATTAAACTGAAATAGACACCAGATGGCTTTAGTTACATAGAATTTAACTGAATCTACTTAACTAAAATAGGACGGTGTGTTTATTGATGAAATGTTCACATATTAAAGTGGTTATTTAAACAATTCCCAACCTTGCCTCTAAGATGCTTTGCCAAGAGGAAGCGTTCCTTTAGAAATGAGACGTTTGTTCCCCAACACTGTCCCGCATAAAGTCATGAAATTTTGGAGAAGATGCCAAGGAACAAAAGCTGTTAATGACAGTTGCCTCGTACCTTGGAGCCCTTGGTCCCCGTCAGGCCCGTCCAGGCCCACGCCAGCCGAGCCTTTGTCTCCTCGGTCCCCCTGGTTTCCTGTCACAGGGATTTTGACATAAGCGCATGTTTAGAATATGAAAGACTTCCAGTGCGGCGTCATGGCCACACGGTGTGACCCCACTTTTCACTGAAGTGGGACGCATTTGGATGAGGACACAGCACGAGCACAGGGCTCATAGGGTCTGACAGTGAACTGGCTGGTCAGCAGCGGCTTTTGTTGGTGTTTAGTTTTGTTCAGACATACCTATGCCTGTTAGACAGCTGAGTTTAGTGTGGATCCCTATTTTCCATGTGGTTTTTGGCCCACGAGCTATCTAAAGGTGCGTTGAAATGCTCCTTTAATTGTGTTCCAGTGTCCCACCTGCCGCTGGTTTTGGTCTCTATGGCCCGTGTCACTCACAGATGTGCTAGTCTCCTGTGGGTCAGCCTGTGCTTTGTGTGACATTAGACGCATACAGGTTATTCTGGAATTACGTTACAAGTAAATGGAACCTTGTGTCGAGACAGTGCCACTTGTAAGTTGACGGCGTTGTGTGAGGCAGTCCTTCTGCCCAATGCTCACCGACAGGACCTATACCACGTTCTCTTGGTGTCTGTCAGTATATCTGTCAGGTCTGTCACCTCCACAGCTGACTAGCAGCCTGAGGAGCAGCACGGGACCCTGGGGTGGTCAGTGCTGGCCCGTCACTACCCACGGGCCATGGCAGGACGACCTCCCACGGGGCACATTGGTTCCCATGCGTTTCCTGGCCTGTCGTGTCCCCAGTGAGACCTACAGTGCGCATTCTCAGTTAAACCCCATCCTGTTCTCCTGAGGGGACTGGGCGCCAGGAGGTGAGGCCATCCACCAGCCTCCCAGGAGACAGGCCATCTGTCCTCAAGCAGGAAGCCACAGGACGCAGGTCCCAGAGAGCATTCGGTGACCCACATGTCTATGGTGGTCGTCACGTCAACGTTGTCATGCTGTGAGAACCAGTTAAAGGCAACTAATGCTATTTTTGAATCTTATTTTCAAAGTTCTTAAAGGCATTCAGATCCCTGCTTTGTTTGGTCTTTTTTGAAGACAGCACCTCACGTGCACTGAACTAGCAGAGACATGCCAGATGCCAGAACTAAGTCTCCCCGAAACACGGAGCTGTGGGGTGCTTAATCCGGGGCCTATGTCGTGTCGGGGATGAGGAGGTGAACCTGACATGTTCGCCCTCTAGTGTTGAAATTGACCTCTGAGTAGCTTATAAAGAAGTGAAATGAAACCACAGCTGACGAATACTTCCACCTGCTAAAGTATGTAAATTTCACCTCACGGACAGAGAAAGACAGAATTAAGTTTCCCTTGGAAATGTTTTCCCTAAAAATGTTTTCAGAAACAAAATCATTTGGTCAATGAGCTGGAATGAATTGGAATCGTGAGCTTCAAATCCTTGATTTGGGCCATGAGGCGACCTCAGTGGATAAAGGCCACCAGGGTGGCAGACGTCAGAAAGGTATATACTGCCTTTCGGAGCTGACGTTTTAGATTTCTGAAAAACGTCATGGTACCTGCAGGCAGAACAAGGAGCTTACTGTGCTGGGCCCTCGGCCTCTTCCCGAGGCCGTTTCTGGCAGTAGCTCCACCTTTCATAGCATCATGCAGCCATGTGGACCGAGAGGAAGGGGGCGGGTGGGGGTCACGACACAATTCGGACCTTCACGAGGCCAGTCAAGGCCAGCATGCCCACTGGCTCATGTCCGGGTGACTTCGGGTCCCCCTTTTCCCTCGGGTTCCCTTCCCTCCCTCGTCCCTGCAGTGGGCACATCGCTGCATGGAGGGAAGTGGGCTTTATGACAGGAATGTCTGGGGGTTCTGTCGCGTGGCAGAGAGGCCGTGGTGGGGCCGACTGGACTCACCTCTGGGTCCAGGGTCTCCCAGCTCTCCGGTGGGACCACGATATCCAGGGGGCCCTCGAGCACCTGGGTGACCAATGGAGCCTGGGGGCCCGGGGGGGCCTGGGGGACCAGCTGGTCCAGGCCGACCAATGGATCCTGGTGCTAAAGGCTTCCTCAGGTGAGCGGCTAACTGTGCGATTTGTTCTTTCGGAAAACAAAGATGTCAGCAGTTATTCAAAGAGGGTCATCAAAGGATTTTCTGTGAAGCGTCAGTATATACTGCCTTTTGGAGCAAGTTTTATCAACTGAGACTGGCTTTAACTGCCCTGGGCTACGTGGTAAATGCTGCCAGGTTCCCTCTGCCGCCGATGAGTGAAACACAGGCCAGAAAGGGGACTCGTGTTTTTGGAGCTCCTTAAAAATCCCGTGAATCGGAGTGGCCTCGAGATGTCCACTCGGCCTATCAAAGCCGAAAGGGCCCAATTTTTGTCCCTTGTAACTGCCTCGTTCGGTGGACACTTGGAACACGCCTTGTGTGCCAGGTACTGTCAGACCTGTAGAGGGGCCCCTTCCAGCTCCGACGCTGACCCCCAGGGACCACGGGTGGGGGGCGAGGCGCCTGCCGGCCCCGCGGGGACACTTACCGCTGACCATCCCCCCACACAGCTCCCTGATGCGCTGCTCGCTGGCTTCCTTACCCTGAAATTTACCCCAAACGTCGGTCAGCGTGCTGGGGGCGCACGGGCACCCCCACCGCCACACTGACAGGCACACGCTGGCCCAGAGCAAGGAAGGGGGCACGTACCGGGACCCCGGGCTTCCCGGTGATGCCAGGAATGCCTTGTACACCCTGCAAGCCCACGGGCCCAGGGGGGCCCGGGACACCCTCCACGCCGCTGGTGCCGTTGGGACCCTGGATGCCTTTCGGGCCCAGCTCCCCTCGACTGCCAGACTGGGGAGAAACAGCAGGATGAGGTGGGTGGGAGGCCGGCCATGCCCCGCAGCTGCCACCCCACGTGGCTGCCTCACAGCCGGCAACAGAGTGAGCGCGTAGGATCTGCAGGCTGGCCTGCTGGCCCAGCGACGAGCCGAGACGCCAGCGGGCTCCTTCGACATTGGTCGTCGGGCCTCTGCCTGCCACTCACCTCTCCTTTGGGTCCGACAGGGCCACTGGGACCCTGCAAAAGAGAAGTACATTTTCGTGACTCACATGTTGTTAGGTGGGTGGGGAATAGTTATGATGGAACTAATTGCGCACATTATTAGTTGGAGATTAAATAAAAAGTCAGGTCGTGCACGAAACTGCTATTGACTATGACAAAACATCACTTTTATTCTTCTAGGTAGTTTTTATATCGCTGAGACTGTTACATCTACTGATGTTTTTGAACTCATTTTCCCTAAAGGTGTTTTAGCAGCTGCGTAGTACTTCCTCGCGTACGTGCTTGTTTGTTCCCACTGTTTTTATTGTCACACATAACGTTGAGGGCTCTGTGCCTCAAGCTCCCCTTCTCCAGCTGTGTCCTCAGGGACACGGTTCCAACCAGACAGCGGACAGGCCAAGGCCGACTCATCTGGGGGAGAGCCTGGACACCACGCTCTGCTCAGGCCGAATAGCCCACTGCCCCATGGGGGCCAGAGTGAGGCTCCGGAAGTGAGCTTTTCAGCTCACACAACCTGACCACAGTGTACGGTTTCCCAGCTGGAAGCTGCGGCCCAGCCGTGGGCTTAACTGGCGGTGGGTTCCCAGAGTCCCCTTTGTCAAGGTTGTATGGGAATTCGCCACAATAAACAGCACACGCGTGCGTGCGCACGCACACACTCCCCTGGGATGATCAGGGCTGGAGACGTAAAAGCTTGCCTGGGCTGCAAGGTCTGCCAGAGCCTAGCCTGCCTGCCCCAGACGCAAAGAAAGGCTGACACACAGAACTGGAACCCTGGCCACTCGGGAGCCAGAGAGTCCCTCCCCGCAAACTGGACATTGCTCCATTTCAGTTGCCCCCAGGAGAAACATGAGTCTCTATGAGCTCAGTCAAGGGCTTTGTTTCAGACTTAACCTGTGTCTTAGCTCTCTGGAAGCGGTTTTCTTTAGTTAAAACTTAGCTGGGACTAATTCATGCCAAAGGCGGCACATGGAGTGATTTTGCAGGCTGCCTCACTGCAGGAGGAGAAGACAGCCCCACAGCCAGGCCTGCGCCCACTCCCCCCACAGGACAGCACAGGCCCCACCCTTCCGCCCAAGGGCCACCTCGGCGCTGACCTTCCCCACAGGTGGGTCCCCACACGGGCTGTCCGTTCCCCGTTGTTGACAGTGAGGGTGCTCTACTCACACTTACCGCTTCACCTTTTTCCCCAGGAAGACCGTCGGAACCCGCGATACCCTGAAAACGAAAACGATACCCCAGAGTTAAAAGAGCTGTTCATTCCTGAGGCTGCCCCCGGACCTCGGGGGGCTGGGGCCCAAGAGCCAGGCCCGGGCCACCAACAGTGTCGACATGATGAGGCTTTTCTTCCAAGCAGACCCTCAGGTGGGTTTACATCGTTCTAGGTCCTTAACACATAAAAAGGGCCTGTGCTGCCTGAAGGTCAGAAGCAGAGGCGCAGGGACACAGGCCCCGCCCAGCCCGGCCTCCAGAGAGAAAAGTAAGACTCCGCCCCTACCCACTTGAGTGTCCAGGTCAGCAGGGACCACGCCCTCCCCTGGGAGGGTTCCAGAGGAGCCACCCGGGCCAGAGGTAGCTACTGTTCTACCCAGGAGCCAGCGGTGATGTGAGGCTGGCTGCCCTGTCCCAAGTCCCGACTGTGGGGCTGGGAGGAAGCGAGGGAGCGAGTGATGAGAGATGAGAAACGAGGTGCCACTCAGCCCAGCAAGCGGGGCAGCCCCACACCTGGCCTGGCAACCAGCCTGCTCACCTGGTCTCCCTTAGGGCCTGCGTCTCCTCCCGGGCCCTGCGTGGAGAGAACGGTCAGCATTAGAGGGGCTACTGGACCCCGAAGCTGCATGCTCCCCCCAGACGCATGCTCCCAATCCCTCCATGCGTGTCCATGTCACCACCTGTCTCAAGGGCCCTACAGCATCACCCACATCACCAGGCTGTTTAACAGGTGTCTCTAAATTTGGTCCTGTTTCTAATACAAGGAGCTGCAGGGAACTTTGCACACTCAATCCTAGGACAATTTCACAGGTGGGATTGCTGAGTCAAGGAGCCTAAAGCTCCTGTTTGTCATCGTCCCAGACGTGAGATTAGGGACCTGCCTGGGAGTTGCAGGGTTCACCCCTAAGGCATTAAAATACAAACGGTCCATTTGCTCCAACAGCAGCGTGCATGAGAACCCACCCAAAGGGCACACAGTGTGACACTGCCTGTGACTGGACTGTGGAGGCGAGGCCACGGGGAAGTTCAGTGACCGCCTCGTCACCCCAGGAACGGTGGCCTCTCCCTCCACCCTCTCGGAGGCCCTGGCATTGTTGGCATGGCCCGACCCCTGGATTTCCCTCCTGGAGACCAATGAAGGGCCCGGCCGCCACAGTCCAGTGTCTTTCATGGCCACCTCCCTCTGCCGGAAAGAAGGGGTGTCTGGAATGGTGGCTCCCAGGCCTCCTCATCTGTGGGATGTCTGGAGGTGGGTGTGGCCTTGGCAGAACCGCACACCTGAAGAGGTCTCTGTCACTGCCTGGCCAGGCAGGGCAGGGTGGGCGCAGGCGGCCATGGAAGGCCCTGAAGGTCCCCAAGGACCTGGTGTGGCATGGCTGGAGGCCCCTCGGCGCCTGGTCACCTGGTAACCATCACCCAACCCGGGGCCCTTTACGCCCTGTCACCGGATGACAGTGACCCCCAAAGCTCTCACAAGACAACTAGGAAAGCCTCAGAAAGTTAGACAGTGACAGTTAAAGAAGTTGAGTGATGGTTTCCACCCTTATTTTAAAGCAATGTGACCCTGTGCCCAGAATCCCAACAGCTAAAGCCGCTGCCCCTCTCCTTGGCCCATGGGCCCAGCAGAGCCGGAAGCCCCAGCAGCTGGGCACCAACTCTGTGGAGTCTGTGTGTGTGTGTCCCACCGGACTGTAGACAGTGGGGCGGGCACAGGGGCAGGGACCCTGCTTGCACACCCACTTACCCGGTCGCCCAGGCCGCCTCGGAGGCCCTGGGGGCCTGGCAGGCCAGGGTCCCCTATGCTGCCTTTCCGGCCCTGCAGACAAGGAGCAGCTGGTCAGTGCCCACAACGAAGCCCAGCAGGGACCCCTCCCTCACCTGGGCTCCCTGGGTGCAAACCCACCTGGAAGCCTCGGACACCAGGGGCCCCGGGAGGGCCTTGTGGGCCCAGAGCCCCCTGAAAGTCAGAAGGAAAGTGTGAGTTCAGCTCTGCCAACCCTAGGGGCAGGTGGACACAGGAGCTGGTCCCTAGCCATCTGGCCCAGTTGCTGGGGACAGAGGGGGGAAGGTATCTTGGGGGGTATTGGGGTGGTCCCAAAGTCAGGTCAGGTACGCCCTGAGACCTCAGGCACCGGGCAGACTTGGTGGCAGGAGCCGATGCCCAGGGCCTCCAGGCACTGTGGCTGGGGTCGTCGTCTCCATCTGTGGGGACACATGGCTTGGGGAGCTGCCACAGCACCTCCCGGGGCCCAGGGCTGGGCGGCTCCCTCAGCCAGGGGTCGTGGCTTTGTTCCCTCAGCACAGACATCTCAAAGGCAGGACAGCGCAGGCCCGGCCCTCCCACCTCCTGGCTTTCAGTCCGCACACAAACTGGGTCACATGGTGGTGACTCCAGACCAGTACCTGCCCCACGCTTGGCCCCCACTCACCGCTGAGCCCCTGTGGCCAGCCTCACCACGCTCCCCCGGCACGCCAACATCTCCCTACACACAGGGAAGGGGAGAGAGGGAGGGTGTCAGCAGGGCCTGTGCACTCAGGTGGAGGGGTGAGGGCTGTGCATACTTACGGGGACACCAGGCTCCCCCGAGGGGCCAGCCTCGCCCAGCTCTCCAGCTCTGCCCTGCATGGAAGAGACAGCTCTGAGTGCCCGCCCACAGCCTCTCCGTCCAAAGACCTGGCGCTGGCCTCCCCTCCCCTCCCCCGGGGGAAAGGAGCCACCTACCAGTTCTCCCTTCTCGCCCTTGGACCCTGCTCGTCCTGGGAGACCCTGCAGGACAGAGGTCAAGGGTCAGAGCACCCGAAAGGGCGAGGGGCTCCAACAGCTTCCCCGGCCTTGATGCACAGGCCCTGCTCAGGGACCCCAGGGGGTGACCCTGTCCTGGCTCAGGCCCTGGAACCACCGCAGGATGCCCATGTACTCACCGGTGGCCCGTTGGGTCCCTTCTCTCCTGGGGCACCATTGCGACCGGCCTCTCCCTGCAGGAGATTCAGGGTGATGGGATGTGAAGCCCAGGAGGCTGAGCTCCCCACAGACCCGTCTCCCCTGCAGGCCGCCAGCCGTGTACAAACCTTCTCGCCGTCGAATCCTGGCACACCGTCCCTGCCGTCCTTGCCTGGCATGCCCTGGGGACGGGGTATGGTGTGAGGCCCAGATGGCGTGTGCCCCCACTCGCCCTTCTCCCCAGTTTTGTCACCTTCTAGGCCATCTGCTCTGAGCAGCTTCCCCATCTCCCCTCACTGGCTTGGCACCCGCAGAGCAAGCAGACCCTGAACGGCTCTCACGGCTCAGTAGCTACATGGTAACCTGTGCTGCCCTCAGACCACACAGGTGAGAAGACATGGGCAGGTGAGGGGCGTGGGCAGGTGAGGGGGTGCTGGCAGGTGAGTGGGTGCGGGAAAATGATGGGGTGCTGGCAGGCGAGGGTGTGGGCAGGTGATGGGGTGCTGGCAGGCGAGGGTGTGGGCAGGTGATGGGGTGCTGGCAGGCGAGGGTGTGGGCAGGTGATGAGGTGCTGGCAGGTGAGGGTGTGGGCAGGTGATGGGGTGCTGGCAGGTGAGGGTGTGGGCAGATAAGGGGTCATGGGAATGGCAAGGGGTGTGAGGATCGCCCCGTGGGACCACACAGCCCCCAGGGGAGTCCTGTTTTACGGAAGGGAACGCCGAGGCTTGGGAACCAGAATTTGGGTGCAGGCGTGTCTAATCCCACACTCGGCTGATTTGGAACTGAGGACACTGCCAAGTCCTGGGAGGGGGGCAAGACGGCAAAGCCTCCCCCGTTCCCTGCCTCCCCACTCCCAGGGGACACCAGCGCCTGTCCCCTAGGACCAGGGTGGAAGGCGCCCAGAGGACCCAGGCTGAGCCTGGGCACATAGCAGGGACAAGGGAGCACGAGCACACAGGGCAGATGCCCCACACCTGTGCCCGCCGGTCCTGCCCTCCCCACATCCCTCATGCCCCCGGAATACAGGTGAGCTCAACCAAAGGCCCCTGACCTTGCACAGTCGGTCGTGAGGACCACAGAAGTTGTGGCCCGTGAAAGTGTAAATGCAGAGGGCTGCAGAGGTTACACGAGTAAGGAACCCCACCCTGAAGCCCGGGACCCTGGGAGGAGAGTGGCTCTCCCGGGGCCGCAGGCCGCAGTGGGCCAGCCGCCCCAGCGTCCGCCCCAGCGACTCACCGGCTCTCCACCCGGCCCGGCCACTCCAGGGACTCCTTTGAGACCAGGTTTGCCCTAAAAGACACAGAAGCCACTGCAGCTGTGACGGTGAGGGGTGCTGTAGACCATCGCACTGGCCCGGCGGGCTTGGGCCGGGGCCTAGACACACTGTGCCCTCCCTTCTGGACGCCAGGTGCTGTACTCAGGCTGGGGGGCTGCTGCCTTGGCCAATCCCAACCGCCAGGGACCTTCTCTTAGGACCCTGTGGACACTGCAGCATTGCACGGCCACCTCTGGGCCTCTGGCTGCTGGGCTCAGTCGAGGGGAACAACTGGTTGGTTTGGAGGCATCCTCAGGCAAATGCCAGTTTGAGGTCAGTCACTTGAGTTGCTTAGTCACCTCTCGGCTTTACTTTGTGTTCGCTCGCTTAACCCGAGTTGTTTTCTGTTATCCTGTTTCACAGCTGGGCAACCTTGGACCAAGGTCAAACACCGCTGCCCAGGGCCTCTCGACAAGTGTGCGTCAGTGGCCAGAATTTGCACCCAGGAGTCTGGTCCTATGGCCCCTGCCCAGCTGCTCCAGAAGGGAGCTTGTGAGATAACAGGGAGCCACTGGAGAATGAGGGCCGAGGGCCCCGGGCAGGCTGGGGAGGACCGCCTGCGGCCAGGAATGTGCGAGGGGTCCCACACGTGTCCAGTGGCTCACCCCCACCCACCTGCAGGAAAGGGCGGCTGCTCCGTGTGCCCCCCGCCCACCCATGTGCAACCCACTGCAGCTGGGGCCGTGTGTCCTCCCTTCCCTGTGGACCAGGTTCTTCCAAGGAAGGACCTAGAGAAGCAAGTTTCTCTCACTTACAAGGTCACCCTTGGGGCCACGGAACCCCTCTGGGCCCCTCTCGCCTCTGTCACCCTGAAATGAGAAGAGGGGACAGGGACAGAGTTATCAACTCAAGAAGGCAGGAGAGCCCGACTGAGGTGTGACTGGCCGGGGTCAGCCCCAGACGTGGCCAGAGGTGGCAGGACTGATGCTGCTGAGGGTCGCAGAGCCCGAAGGACACTAATCACACCTCGCTTTGTGTCCAGGAAGAGAAAGCACACAAATCTTCAATGAAGGACAAACTCCTTTGGTAAACTCACCCTCCAGGTGTGCCCACAGGTACCTGCCCAGGTGTGCCCACAGGATGGCTCAGCCCTGGGATGGGCCAGCGCAGCCCAGAAGGGCTGGGGGAGGCGTCTAAGTGAGGATGAGGGGAGGGAACAGAGAGCCTGGGCCAGCGGGGGCCACCCTCCACCCCCAGGCTCACACGTACCGCTTTCCCGGGCGGTCCTGGAGTCCCGGGGGGCCCTCGGAACCCGATGGGACCCTGCAGAGGAGAGGAGTGCATCTGGGGCTCTCCCGAAGCCTGGCCAGCGTCCCCCGAGGACCCCGTACCATCTGGAGAGGCCCAGAACTCCCCCACCTGAGCACCCCCAGCAGGCCCTTCCCAGTTCCCCCCAGTGGTCCCCAGGCCCCGCCCACACTTGCCAAGGCCGCTCCCCCTCTCCCCATTCTCTTGGGCCTGAGCACAGAAGCCTCCATGGCCCCCAGCGAAGGGATACAGGAGGGAAGGGGGCCAGAGGCAGCTTGGCCAAGTCACGCGGCCCACCACGGCTGCCGTGAGGACCAGCACTCGCAGGCCCATCTGACATCTGGAGGTGACCCCTGACCGCCTGGACTGACCTAGGGCTGTGTCACAGCCTCCCGAGGTGTGGGCAGGTAGGGGCGGCAGACTTACCCGGTCCCCTGGGGGCCCAAGCGGCCCTGGCAGTCCTCGGAGCCCCCGAGGGCCCTGTGGGGAGACAGCTGGAGATGCAGGGTCTGGGCTCACAGCGCCCAGGCCTGCACACCCCCGGGAGCCGCTGCGGGACCTGTCTCCTCCCTGAAGCCCTCACCTCAGCTCGGGCCCTGAAGGGGGCAGGGCCCGTCCCCTGGGACAGCAGCCTGGCAGAGGCAGGACCCTGGGCCGGTCCCCACTGTGGGTGTAGTGGAGCGGCCCAGAGCTGTCCACGGGGCTCCCATCCCCCATCCTCAAGCCTGTCCAGCCCCTCCCCCCACCTACCTGCAGCCCCACGGTGCCTGGGATGCCGGCGGGCCCAGGGGGGCCGGGGTCACCCTGCAACGGAGGTGGAGAAAATGGCGGTGAGCTATGCCAGCACTTTCCCATGCCGGCCGATCCCCCGCCCCCTTTCACAGCTGCGTCTCCAAGGCCAAGGGGGCACTGGTCCTCCTCCAGAGAGGGGAAGCCGTGTCCCATGGCCTCTGTCCCAGCTGTTCCCAATGCCTCCTCCGAGGGGGTGGGGCCTCTGCTGCCCACATGGTGGTCTGGCCACCCTCGCCATGTTATAGGGCACCGGCCTCACCCCCAGCCTGTGGTGAGGAAGGAAACACACTCCATGGGCAGGGGCGATGGGAGGGAAGGCGGCAGGAACTCCTGGGGAACACTGCGAGTGAAGCCAACCTCTGGCCACCAGTGGGGCCCGCCCAAGCTGATTGGGGTGGGAGTCCGTCCAGAGACCCTCCCCAGATCAGGGGTCTCTGAGCAGCCAGGCCCGCTGGGGAGGCGGCACGGCAGCTGCTCAGTCGGGGGGTGCCATACAGCCGACCCTCTTCACGCACCGCCACCCCACCGGAGCGCTAGCCACACCCCCAGCGCCCTCTCTGCAGTTTCCACCGCCCGAGCCGGCAGCCCCACCGGCACCCACAGTACCTTCTCCCCATCTTTGCCAACTTCTCCTTGCTCTCCTTTGTAGCCGGTGGGTCCCTGAAAGGTAGTGGTGGGTGATGAGTCACAGCCTGACCCCTCAAGCAGCCCTGAACCGAGGCCCCATGGCCCCCCAGCCAGGTGGAAAACAGGCCCCATGGGAGGGGCACAGCCGGGCTGAAGGGGTCGGGGGCCTGGCACCTCTGCCAGCAGCAACACCAGTGGCCAGAAAATCAGCAGGGTTTGAGGGGGGAGGGGACAGCAAGAACCCCAGGCGGGCTGGGAGACCAGACCCCTTTCTGCACCTCCATCTCTCCCCCCAATCTCAGCCCTCGTGAGGGCTGCGCTGCCTTCTGCAGGGTGTGGAGGTGGGCTTAGGTGCACCACTCACCTTGAACCCTGGCATTCCTGGGGGCCCAGGGGGACCTGGCGGGCAGATGGCTGGGCACTGTTGGAAAACAGAGTGGTCAGACCCCTCCCAGGCAACAGGGGCCCTGGGATGGGCCATTCCGCAGGGGTGAAAGGGACCTGGGGCCCACAGGGCTTCCTGGGGAGCCAGACAGGGCCTCATTCAGTGCGGGTTGCAGGGTGTGGTGAGGCTGTGGGAGCCAGACGGCCGCCAGGCCCCTCCGGGCCTCCCGCTGCCTGCCCGGCTCCTGTGTCTGGGCCTCAGTGCAGAGCTGGTCAAGGCAGCTATTCAGCCAGTGTCTGCGGTCTTCACAAAGCGGCCTTCATCCCACCCGGCTCCCCGCAGCGAACTTCAGCCTGGGCTCCCCTCAGTGCACAGACATGCTTCAGGAAGAACCGTGTGTCCCTGGGGG